ACGTTGTGAAGATTTACCAGAGGGGCCTGCAGGTCCGGGGGATCCTGGTAATCCTCTGCTACCTCGTTTTCCCTGGAGTCCAGGGGGACCCGCGGTTCCTTTTCTTCCTCTTCTACCACTTGGCCCGGGAGAGCCCTGGGGACCAGTAGGTCCAGGTGAACCGGGAGGTCCTGGTAACCCTCGAGGTCCTACACGACATGATAAAATTAACACAAGCTCGGTCATCTTACATACGGGAACTGGAATAGGCTCGTGCATTGGAAGATTTAACTAACGCACAAATCTTACCTTCCACACAAACTATTCTTTCATTACTTGTTTCGTCTGTCAAATTCTGTTGATTAATAAAATAAATTGTATTCAAAAAGTTCAAAATTAGCTCCCTTTTCTCTGATTCACAAGCCTTTACAAGTAACGAGATAAGCAATTATCACAACTAAGTATTCATTGTAAATTGTTGGCTTCACAGCAAAGAAAAAAAAAAAAAATCAAAAGTAGAAGCATGCACCGTGGCGTTTAAATGACAATAAGTCGTGAAAGTTTTCCACGAACTTTGGGTTATTAATTTAATCTTCTATGTGATAATAAACGAAAACAAATAAATTGACACAACATAAGTTCTGTAACTACATGTCAAGTTTCATATTGTAATTATTTCCAATGAAGTGTGTTTTACAAAATTATATCGTTGGATGTTGTCCTTCAGTAGCATTTTAAATGAAAGTGGCAAAAGTTCATCTGAGGCCTTACACTACTGTAAAATGACATTAAAGTCGTTTAAAAATCCAAGCTTTCGCCGATGTACGGCATCCTCAGGGATAAGAAAAAATATTCCGCTTAAGGCTTACACGCAGATATAAAGTAAAAACGTGTGAAAAGCGAAAGAATGTGGGGGGGGGGGGTAAAATGCATGAGATCACTAATAAGAGACAAATATGAATAATAACGAATGATATGATCTAATGAGCGAGTGTCAAAACAAAGTCCACAAAGGCATCGAGATCAAGACCATTGTACTAAAAAGCGAACCCGCTAATCTACGACTGCTCGAAGTGCTTTACATACAAAACTACAAACCTGCCCTTAACTCCCGAGAAGAGCGCAGCGAATTCGCGGACCTTTTATTCTAAATATAATTATTTTAACATATCCAGAGACTCTTTGTACTTTGACACTCGCTCATTAGATCATATCATTCGTTTTTATTCATATTTGTACCTTATTATTTATCTCATACATTTTACCCCTCACATTCTTTCGCTTTTCACACGTTTTTACTTTACATCTGTATATAAGACTTACGCTAAATATTTTTTTTCTTATCCCTGATGATGCCGTAGAACGGCGAATGCTTGGACTTTAAACGACTTTAATATCATTTTACAGTAGTGTAAGGCCTCAATTGAACTTTTGCCACTTTCATTTGCAAAATTAAAAGAAAGAAACAGAGATGAAAAATCGGTGCTGGAAGTTTTAGTGTTGAGGCATGTAATGCTGACAACAACGTGAGAGCATCAGATAACCATGCAGACAGCTTTAATCTGATTGGAGTTGCTTATTTGTTTAATTGTATGCCTAAAAGCAGATTACTCGTCAGACTTACAAGGAAAGGCTTGTACGCCACACCCCTCCCTATTCAGATTTATTGCAATTTTTATTTACTTTGTTACGCTGATACTTTGAGTCAGTTGTTTATTCATTCTTTGCAGATGTTTCGATACATGGATTGTTCCCCTATTTGTCATTTCTAGAGCAACCGCATTTCGGCATATCTGTCAATCAAAACCTAAGGTCTCTTTTTCAATAGGATTTGACGGATTTGTTTGTTTGTTTGTTTGTTTGTTTTTAAGTAGCATTGCACTATTGGTACGTAGTATCAAATTGCTGGTTTTTAAAGTGATTTCTAAATTCCGAAGTCGTGCCAAACATCGATCTTCAAGTGTTTTGAGTTTAGTAAACAATGCCGATCCTGTCTTGTACCCCGGAAGGTGACACTATTTACTCACCAAGAGATTTGATAGTGGTTAAGTTTCTAAATGCTGGATCTGTGTGTTGGACTTGCGCATTTGACCAAACATGCTATTTTGAAAGCATTTAGAGGGCTATCTACCTAACGCAAAATAAATTGTCGCCGTTGGCTCTTATTTAAAGTAATATTGCCCACCATACAAAAATGTCTAAAAGGCAGAGCAGCAGGAGCAGTGATTGACACTCGATTGTATGAGCTACAAGAAAAATATTCTCTCAACAAGGAGCTGTTATTAGAAATTAGAATGTAATTGTGAATTATAAATTGCAGTGTTGCTAGTGTTACACAAAAGGGAACAAGTATTGATATATATCTACTAATTAAAGTAAAGGTAGAATTGCTATAAAACTGTCACGCAGTTGTATCTAATACTACTACTAGACCCACCCATTTTTGCTCAGCCAAGGCCAAAGCAACGACAACGGCAAAAACATGAAGGAAAACTCAAACTCGTATATGTTAACGTTAACGCGCAGACGAAAATTAAACGCAAATGTGAAACCGAAACGCGCAAACGCAAACCCTTAAGTAAAGGCAAATACCAACCGAAACTGAAACACGCGAATGTGAAAAAAAAAAAGAAAAGAAAAGAAAAAGAAAAAGAAAGGAAAAGAAAAGAAAAGAAAAGAAAAGAAAAGAAAAGAAAAGAAAAGAAAAGAAAAGAAAAGAAAAGAAATTAAGGGAAAAAGTAGTCATCACAGATTTATGTTTGTTATTACTCTTTTTTTATGAACAAAGAGAGCGTTCTGCATGATGTTATCTTATGGGTAGCCCATGCAAAAACGATGAAGTGATCCCAACATTCAAAATTGATTTCGTTCGTCCATTGGAAAAAGAAATGTAACAGAAAAAAATATATGCAAGTTTGAAAGAGGTATGATCAATTCAGATTGAAAATTGCCTTGTTCGACGTTTAAACCACACAAACAGGCCCTGATAATCGAAACTTTGGAGAGCGCATGAGTTTGGCGGACTCATTCTGTTTAATTTGAAGAAATAGAACTGCAAAGTTTTTCTTGGCCGAGGCTTTCAGCACGCAAGTCAAGCCATGTTGCCTGAATTCATCAGCTCCTTCTTTGTCGAGGTAACGACCTATCTGTACGTGAATCCCTCAGCAGTCTTAACTATGGCCGAGGAATAAACTGTTACCGAAGAATGACGTGAAAGCAACAAACCTCAGATAACAAGCGTAAAACACCTAAATATAATTACACATTTCAGGGTTACTTGGTATGTCGACGCAACTTAACTAAATGCATACCGTTGTTTAATGAAATCCTGATGTTGAGGTGTTTAGGCTAAAAAGGTTCTTAGGTCACGTTTCCTATACAAGTAAAGTTAAAACCGAAAAAATGCTAAGCACCATAAATGATCACAGTCGTAAGGGAAAAAAAGTAAAACTTAAGAATCTCTCTCTTTTTAAGTCAATCAAATGTCAATTAAATTCAGACAATTGAAGCTAAAAACAGACTTGATTTGACAAATGCGTTAGCGTCATTCCCCCGTAACACAAGTTTTGTTTATTTCTTTTGTTTATCTATATAGCGGATCGAGTTCTGACGTTTTCTTCTTTACTTAAATCTGTCCAAAGTTACACCACTTGCATTAGTTTTGTCGCTGCACCTGCATACCAGCATATGTGTTAATGTATTGAGTAGCGACAAAATTGAAACGGAACTAACATACGACTGTCAGTGGTAACTATGCTGACTAGAATATGTGCTGAACAAGCCCATATGAAGGAGTAAAACACGTGATCATGGTATTTTTTGTTGAAAGAAAATGTTCTCACACCAGTCCGCTAGACTGATGACAGATATGATTGATGACTCAACAGCACAGTATATTGGAGGACGAAAAACAAGCAACAGCAGCAACAGCAGCAACAGCAGAGGCAAACTGTAAAACTTCCTGAGAAGAGGGGGGTTAATAGGGGTAAATAAATCCACCCATCCGTGCAATTTTTTCGCTAAATCCGCCGATCCGCCAATATTTTCGTTCAAATCCGGAACCGCAGTTTTTGAAATCTTTCTGTGGCGTAGTTTCACTGCAACAGTAATATGTGATACTATTTTTTCCCTCTCCCTTTTGGGGTATGTGCGTACAAGTATATGCGGCGCCGAAATCTGTGGTTTTTGAGCGTTTTGGCCTGAACTATAGACCGGACGACATCGCAGTATTTTAGAAATCATGGGATAATAACTCAGTTTCTAATCTCAATACAATGGAAAACTGACCAAACAGATTTGCCACTTGGTTTTGTGTGAGAAGGAAACGGAAGTGTGAGAGCACATTGACTAATAAACTGCTAAATGTGGATGCCATTTTCAAGTTCGCAAAAATTGTAAAGAATTCAACATATTGAATAAGGATCACAAAATTTAATGACGATGTCAAACCCAAGTTTAAATAACTGAGTTTCGTCCAAAGAAAGAAATAAAGGCGATAGGGCAGGCCCTTCCGGAAATAATGAATTGTTTAAAGATGCGAGCTAATTAACCTAGATTCCACATAAAGATGTGACTTTAAAGTTAACGCTTCTGATGTTGAATATGCGCACTCCTGATATAATTAATTTCCTTTCGGATTCATTTTAGTGCCAGATAAAAGTATATTGATCAATTCAGCAAGGGCAGTGGGTAAGACAGTTTTTTCACAAACTAAAGAAGGCTCCCCTAAACAAATACATAATTTACATTTGCAATACGGTTTCTATGACCACACGTAATGTGAAAACTTACATTTCGAAGGCGATTTGTGTTTAAACAGGGGCTGCTGCATTTGCGGCACATGGATGGTCTGTCGACAGCTCTCTTAGCGACAGCTTCCTTCCTTTGCGATCCGCTTGGAGGCGAATGCGTAGATGTTGGTTTATCAATCACGCGATTGGTAAACTGATCTGGATGATTTACAACCAGCAAATCCTGTTCAACTGCTGTTAGACGAGAATCAAATCGATACAAAGAATAGCACGTGAAACCAAGGGAACCCAACGTCAGAATTAAATTGAAAGAGAGGCCGACGAAGAGAGCGCTGGAGCGCTTATTGCCTTTGCTCTCCATCTTTGCTGATCTGCTAATAGATTGGGCGACTGATGGATGGTTGCTCTAACCTCCTTTTATCTATCATACAACATATAGCTGGTTTTGGTTTTCAGACGATCACGGGATGTTAAGTCAATGTTGACCTCTTTTTATGCTACTCATCTTATCATTTATTTGTCTTCGTATTGTGCACAACTCGTTTGAGTATCGATTACAGTTTCCTTTTATGTTTATACCAACAACGAGACGGATCAGATTTTGATGAGCTGAGCGAAAGCAATTTGGATTTGTTTGGAGTTCAATTTAGCTCTTCGTAATCAGTATTTTGTATCGAAAAAAGATTTGAAATCGCTCCAGCTTTGTCTTTTGTTGTGCAAGTGTGGTCATGTGAAATATCATCACAGGTCAATCCGCGCTAATTAATTTAATTATGGAACTCTTTTCATCTCGTGATCCGACTGCTTGAACTCATCATCCGTGGTGCTTTTTTTCCTAAAGATAACAGCAGGCTGCGATTGCCAGGATTTTATACTAATTTACAACTCCGCTTCAGGGGACAGATTTTTTCAACACTAGTTTTGTTTCTTTCCTCGTTTCCCTAGTACTACCGGAAGGCTGCCGGAACCTGCCATTCTCCTACTGAACCGAGGCTTTCTGTGCTCTGGAAATGTAAAAAAAAAAAAAAAGAAGCTTTGGATAAGGCGACTGCTGTTTTCGACGAATAGATGAGTTGTATTCTAGTATGAAAAAACAAAGTTTTAAGAATTTTGAAATTCCTGTTGAAATGTTTTCTTGAATATTCCATACAAAGTTACACGGCTCGTTAGTTTTGCCCTTGATGTAGATTGCCGACGCAACTGGGAACACTTGTTTGTGTCCACTAAGCGGCGATTGAACAGCATCCCAACTGGCACGCGATAGTATCAGTTTCAAGTTCAAAATTAATCAATGTGTCGTGCTTGATCCGTGCGCCTTATGACGGCAGGGATGTATTTTTACTGTTGGGTATTCATTACAAGTTGTGTTCCTTTCCCAATAGGTTGCCTCATAGATCATGTCCATTGTAGGCTCGAAAGCAGAAGTGTCATTTGTAAAAGGGTCACAGCAGGATTTTTAGCTGTTAATCTTCGTTACATAATAGTATTCATTTTTAAGGTAGTTTCGAGGGGAAACTGACTTAATTGCCAGTTGCGATGGTCGAAGATGCTTCTCGGGATAACAAAAAAACAAAACAAAACAAAACAACAAAACAAAACAAAAAAAACATATGTAATCGAGGTGATTTATTTTCTTTTCTTGTTTTCTTGTTGTTGTTGTTGTTTTTTTTTTTTGCGCAAACTTACTGAGGTCAGTTTGGAGAGACAAGAGCAATGCGCACAGGTACACTAGGTACAGCTGCAGGGGTTAGTTTCATATGTCACATGCTTTTAGAAACCGTTAATTAAAAAAAGTTAATTTTTAGAAAATTATCAGTTAGAAAATCACTGCTTTACGATGTAGAAATAAAGGTAATAAATGGAAGCTGACTTTATTGAGGGCCGACGACGTCATTTCTTCTTGAGGGTCTGAATGGGGGTACCTCGATAACATTTAACGCTTAAATGTTTTGCTCTGTAACACAGAACAGTTAAATTTTAGGCATTTTAACGCTATCAGTAAAAAAAAATTCTCTGTCACAGTAAATTTTATCCAGAAGGAAACAAGAACAGCGCCTAAAAGGGCAATGTTATTTTGTTTAGTATAGCAAGAAGTGTTAGGTCACTTTCCGACGATTCCCGATCTTTTCGGACGATTTCCGAAGATTACCGAAGACAGCCGAAGATTTCCGAAGACTACCGAAGATGTACAGAGACTACCAAAGATAGACTACTCGTTAAGCCCAAGAAATTCCCTCAGATATTTACTGACGGCTGCCACGCTGGATTGCTTTGAAAGGTCGAGAGTGACCCTGCTTCTATGCCTTTTGAAACCATAATCCTCTCCGCTTCTACAGAAGCTCAGTAAAACTTTGACAACATGGGAGGAGAATCCACTCGATACCGATGCCGCCTTCGCCGTTACGATGTTTCGACGCTGACCAAAGGATCGTGGGCTCCTGGCGCGAGGTAGTTCCCACTGCTGCCCGGGCTTCCCAGAATAGAGAGAATACTTCGAAAAAAGAGACTACAGAACCTTTGTAAGGCTTTGGGCACTAGCTCAAAGTTCACGAGTGATTTTATTACCGATTTTCGTAGAGCAGATAAGAATTTACAATGCTAAAAGACTATGGGACCCTGTGGGGTTTCCACGAAAAACCCTTCTGACACTTAACAGTATTTTCTCCAGAAACAGTAAACATTAAAAATTTGGCCAATTTATCAGCAAAAACTAAAAATTATGGTTAAATAACACTAAACACTAAACCCCATTCAGACCCACCTCCTTGCATTTCGACAAAGATGTCCGTCTGTCAGCAAATCTCACAACAAGATCGATGAAGACTGTTCGTACAATTTGTTTGCTCCGGAACTCTTTTGTAGTATAATTTTCTTGCTATGTTCGGTTAATAAGGCTTAATGGAATGTGAAAATTTCAATACTGCTTTAATTTTACTCAACATTACTGAAACCATCAACTACCAGTTTATACGAAGAGATCTATTTCTATTGCTTCTTCAAACTTGTTTGAAAAAGTGAGATCCATTGTGCATTCTGTGCGTATGACCTTGTCGTTTCTTCACGCAGACCGTGTTGAACGAAAACCCCTTTACGCCTTGTAACAACTAATATAGCGCAAAATGTAACATTGGCGTAAGATGTAACAACTTTTGACGCAAAATGTAACCATTTCTCTAACTCGTATTGTAACAACTTCTTTACGCAAAATGTAACGACGCAAAATGTAACAACTCTGGCCTCAATGTATAAGGGAAATTCAGATATATCAGCGTTCTTCCCAAGCTTAATAAACCCCTCTCAGTCAAATTATACAAACCTATTAGTCACCGTAAATGACCAGTTCAAAATTTTTCTCCAGTTTAAAAGAATTGTTCGTGATTGTCATACCAAGTCCGTGTCTGTCCGTCCGAGCTCAAGGACGGACAGCAACTTGATATCTTCTAATGCTAAGCAAACGACAATAAATACACACAACATGTCCGAAGGCACGATCACATGACTTAAGAAAACTCCTTGTCCAATACCTTCGTACAATAAAGTAGTCACCCGCGAGAGGTCGTCGCTTCCGAGAAGTGGTCGCTAGGAAAAAGTTGACTGCATTAGATAAAATTATTTGATTTAGAAAAGTCGGTGTTTTTTCTCCAATCAAAAACCTTTAGAGCTAAAGAGTTGTCGAACAACTCTCTTACCCTTGTTAAATGGTCAATTCAATTTAACTTTCGACTGAACATTTGTAGCTTTTTTAACTAGTCTTTACTGCACAGTCTACATTCATGTTATTACCATTCATGTTATTACCACCTAATCTGACAACCGCTGCAGCTTAACTTTTCCTCTCACACTTCTAAAAACTTGGAAATAACGAGACCCTTGGCGCCTCCCACTTTGCCTCTACTAGTATCGATAGTAAAACAAACAGTGCCAGCAATTTCTTAATTTAAAAATCCGAAAAAAAAAAAAACCTTATAACTGGTTTAGCCATCGAAATATAATAGCTAAAGCTGTGCGGAGGGTTTTTGTGACCAAGTTTAACCACCAGCACACAGTGTACAGTCGAGTCAATTCAGTCATATGTTGCGTCAAAAGATGTAACATTTTGCGTTAGTTGTTACATTTTGTGGCGTAACAAACCCCCCTCCATTTAAAGCACTCGTCACTGTTTGCAGAAGTGAGGAATGTTGCTTTATTTGAACTGTCATTAAATTTAACGTGTTACGGTATCGCTTGACCACCAGTAAGATATACTAAGAAACTCTTCTACGAACCCAAATTATTTATTTAACAACACGTAATGTAATCTTAGCTACAAAGGAGCGATTTCTGAACAATACAATCTACTACGGATACTAAACTAACTTAAGCCTACTGCTAAACTTTAATCACCACTGACACAAACCCACAATAAATCTCGATGTCTCCAAAGAAATCTCCTTACGATTCACTTGACCTTAAACAAAGTTCCTCAATAGCTTTTACAACAGCAATAACACTCTATAGCTTTTCCACTCGGTCTCTGCCGAGAACTACTAACGGGGGTGTATATACTACCTAGCTGATTCTTCATATACATTTAACCAATATTCTAGAACATTCTTGCAGCTTCTATTTATGTAACATTACATTATAATTACATCATGCGGTAGAATGTTCTAAAATGTTCCATAGCGTGACANTAGTCACTCTAGTGTAATTTGCTCAACAAAATTTTGAATTTTGAATTTTTTTCCGTGATCCGATCCGTGATCCGATCCGTGATCCGGTCCGGTCCGATCCAGATTTTGTCGACGCCGATGCCACCCCGACATAAGAAAATTCTTGGGACCGCAATGAGCCGATTTAAAACTGTTACGGTATCGCTTGACCGACAGAAAGATATACGACGAAACTCTTCTATGAACCCAACTTATTTATTTAACAATATGTAATGTAATCTTAGCTACAAAGGAGCGATTTCTGAACAATACAATCTACTACCAAACTAAGCTAAGCCTACTGCTAAACTTTAGTCACCAATGACACGAACTCACAACAAATCTCTGTGTCTCCAAAGAAATCTCCTTACGGTCCACTTGACCTTGAACAAAGTTCCTCAATAGCTTTTACGATAACAATAGCACTCTACAGAACTACTAACGGGCTCTGTATTACCTACCTGACTCTTTATATACATTTAATTAATATTGTAGAACATTCTTGGAGCTTCTATTTATGTAGCATTACATTATAATTACATCATGCGGTAGAATGTTCTAAAATGTTCCATAGCGTGACAGTAGAAGATTCTGGCACAAACATTGCGTGACTTGACACTCTAGAAGTTTCCAGAAACTTACATATTCACCTCTGCTCTTCATAACAAAAACTAACATATAATGCGTACTTTCTGATAATAAGCAAACAGTTATAAGTCACGAAAATTAATTTCAAAAGGTTCAAATTCAGGGCCAGATCGAGGCAGATCGAATAACGAAGCGCGCGATGTCTAAAAATAGAATGCAAATTAATGAAACCCCGCGAGAGTCAGACAACATAAGCGTGTTCCGAGAGAAATAGGAGGGAAACGAACGTCAAATTTTCGTTTAAAAAGTTGTTTTAGGAACACTCGCTCACGCGCTTGAAAAAGCGTCAAATCTCGTCTAAGTTTGTCTGAGTTATGACGTCACTCGCGCTTGGCTATTGCAAAATTACCGGACGTCAAAATCCGCTCGTGTCTACTTAACTGGCGTTAAGCTTGCATTACACTTGTTTGGTTTGGTAGAGGATTTCTTCGCACTTTATACAAGTGACACGGGACAGCAATGGGCCTTTGATCAAGCTGGTAACCAATATGCGGAGACAATAAATGAAGTGTCTTGAATCAGTACAGCGTGAACTCGTCTCACCAAAACGCGGTCATTTCAACGTTGTATGCCTGCTTTTCAAAGCCGTAGCCAAAATTATAATTAACCCGCGAGTTTCCAGGGCCACCTTAACCACCAGGAATATTACATTGAGCATACGAAGAATCCTGACATAGGAATGCAGCAAAATTCGTGTCTGGTCACGCGTACACGATCGTTTTAGCACAAAAAAGAACTTCCTACGCGTGACACAATTTTCTGAGAAATCTTTTACTTCCTGTTAAGAACGAAGCTATTCAAGGAAAGTTATCTGTTCAAAACAAAGGACCAATCAACACCAGCCCGGCCGTGTTAGCAACAAATCAGTGAGCGTTACTTTCCAGTTTGACGTCAAAAGAGGCTCAAAAGGGTTTTCCCTTGACTCTTTCGCAAAGAACAAAGGTTACATGTAATACGTGCGTCCCGTCAAATGACGTAAGGGTCGTCAAAAAGGAAAGTAGATATAAAGGTCACGTTTAATACATTCTGAAATATACTTTGGCAAGAAGCACTAAGAACTTATCAAAACACAGTCAATCGAGGCAAAACGAAGCTCTCTGAAGCGATAAGCCTTTTTTCAGGTCAGTGAATCGATGTTATTACTTTGGCATATACTTGCACGATTGTTTGCAAAAATTATGAAGGTGTCGTGAAGACATTCGACGTGAATCTGATCTTTTTTCTTCGAACTTGGTCATTTTGCCATTAAGGAATTAATTTGTCTCACCGAAATTGCAGGGTTATTTTGCTCGATTTTCAGCTTAAAACTAGCCAATATTTCTTCTCTCTAACGAAGATAAGATTACAGGCTTAAATGAGTTACTAGCAACATCGACATTGATCTGCTGTCAATTTTATCACACAGGATTTATGGGGTTCAGGTTTTTCAAGCGAACTAACAGCACAAGCCAACCCCAGCCGAGGAGACGATCCTTAAGCTTTAGTTTCCGTCGAAGAAGCCGTCATGGCAGAGAAGAACAGAGTACAGAGAATGGAAACACTTTATCAGTTCGGCAGCGAACAAACTCCGAGAAGAGGAGATCTAGAGAAGTTGGCGAAGCTTTGCGAGCTATCGGCGATGGTCTCAACAACAGCACGTTGAGTCTTCACACTGCAACGTAGTGGATTAGTGGACGAGTGGAAATAGATTAAAAAGGAAATACTTTGCGGCCTTTATCGCCAGCTTTTGCAGTATTGAGTAAACCAAGTGATGAAAGATCTAGTGCGGTGCAGCAAGCAGAATTTTTACAAGCATTGAAAGTAGAAACATGGACGAAAAAGCAAACAGAAGCTTGTACTGAAATGGCCGCTTTGCCTAAAATGTTTATCGGAATTGATGTTGTAAAAAGTAATTTATTGTGAAAAGACACATAGTGGATTTGAAAATGCTTTATTTATTGTATTTATGGTAAAAAAGTGAAATTAAACGTGTGGCAATTCAGCATACGTGTCATTAATTAAACATACGTGTGACGTGATGCGTGTCCACAATCACGGGACATTTAAATGCGAGTTTCCGGTTCCGGTTCCCTTTCCTGGATTGTTTGACTAAGGAGTTTGGAGTCACGAACGTTAACCTGGGCCCTGTTTCTCGAAAGCACCAGAAAATTTTCGGGCCTGAAAAGCCATTTTTAGTTAACCGGTATTTAAAGACAGACAGGTGTATACGCCTGAGACTTCTTGTAGGGAATGGAACCTATGTTCATATTAAGAATATGTAAATAAAACAGCTCTGTAATCGTATGGTTTGAGATTTTGCTACGGCCCTCCGGGTGCGAAAACTTTTCGGGACCTTCGAGAAACGGGCCCCTGAAGTCGAAAGTTTCCTCCTTCTGTTGCGCGTATTGAGCATGAAAGCCATGGACCGTGGACGATTGAAATGAAAATTTAAAACCATCCCTTTTCTAATTTCAAATGGGGTTTTGATCTTAGCGGGAATCCATCATCGATTCGGAGGAAGGGGGGAGGGGGGGTTCTTTCTCCCTAGATTGTTGTCAAAATGTGAATGAAAAGTCTGCCAAAGACAAGAATATCGCTTCTCGTTGCCCTTGCTTTTCTTACGTATGGTTCTCCAATCCTTGTGTAGCACAGCTCTTACAAGACTT